ACAATCCAGGAGCAATAGCAGTATAATAAATAGGGGTTTATCTCTACAAAAGAATATACATACACGTACTAGGCAAAGGTCAAACAATCAATCAGCAGCTACAGCAGGGAAGAATACATGAAGAGGGAGATACATCTCTTATAATACAGCCTCTTTAAGTGGTCACAGTCAAATAACCCTACTGACTCATTCCTCATCATTGCATCATTTCAGTATTACAGCATTAAGCAGCTGCTCAGCTATTAAATCACCCTCACATAGCAGTATTTCAGTATTTGAGAGGCTGCCACAAAGAGGAGGTCCTCAATTTATTTTCCAAAGCACCAGAGAGCAGGACAAGGAACAAGGGATGGAAACTAATCAAAGAGTGAAGCAACCTAGAATTAAGGAGAAACTTCCTAATAGTTCGGACAATTAACCAGTGGAACAGCTTTGCCTTCAGACATTGTGGAGGCTCCATCACTGGAGGTTTTTAACAGAAGACTGGATAGTCACTTGTCTAAAATAGTATAGGACCCTGATGGCGAACCTGTGGCATGCGAAGCCATTTTTAAGGGCAGGCAAGGCGTGCACTGGTCAGCTGACTTCGGCCTCCTTTTGAGACCGTTTTTCACCCTCCGGAGGCTTCCTTGAAGCCTCCAGAGTGCGAAAAACCAGCCCTATAGGCAAACCGGAAATTCAGGAATGGACTTCTGGTTTGCTCATAGGACCTTTTTTCGCCCTCTGGAGCCTTCAGGGAAGCCTCTTGAAGGCTGGGGAGGGCGAAAATCGCCCTTATGGACAAACCAGAAGTCACCATTCCCGAACTTCCAACTTCCCCGTAGGTCTGTTTTTCGTCCTATGGAGCCTTCAGGGAAGCCTCCTGAAGGCTTTGGAGGTCAAAAATCAGCCCTACAGACAAACTGGAAGTCACCATTCCCAAACTTCCGGTTTTCCTGTAGGTCCATTTTTCGCCTTCTGGAGGCTTCAGAGAAGCTCCTGAGGCCTTCGGAGGGCGTCCGAGGGGGAGGAGGAGGCTATTTTTCCGCCCTCCCCAGGCTCCTAGAAAGCCTCTGGCACTTGGAGAGAGCAAAAAAACCATGCTAAAAGGAGGGGGTGGGTGCTGGTCCCGCGCTCATGCACACAGGTGTGTGTTATGCGCATAGCATTATGGGTGTGGCACACACGTGCATGATCCTCCTGTGCTCCCCCCACTTTTGGCACAGGAGCCAAAAAAGGTTCGCCATCACTGGTATAGGATCTCCTGCTCAAGCAGGGAACTGGACTAGATGACCTCCAAGATCTCTTCCAACTCTATTCTGATTTTGTTTATCCTTGAAGGCATTTCACTTCTCATCCAAGATGCATGAAGAAGCTTCTTGGATGAGAAGTGAAACGAAGGCTAGTTGCCTTTTGAAAAAGTACTTTTGGGACAGTTCCCAATTATTTTGCCACTCATCAANAGACATTGTGGAGGCTCCATCACTGGAGGTTTTTAACAGAAGACTGGATAGTCACTTGTCTAAAATAGTATAGGACCCTGATGGCGAACCTGTGGGACGCAAAGCCATTTTTAAGGGCATGCAAGGTGCGTGCTGGTCAGCTGACTTCGGCCTCCTTTTGAGGCCGTTTTTCACCCTCCGGAGGCTTCCTTGAAGCCTCCAGAGTGCGAAAAACCGCCCCTACAGGCAAACAGGAAATTCAGGACTGGACTTCTGGTTTGCTCATAGGACCTTTTTTCGCCCTCTGGAGCCTTCAGGGAAGCCTCTTGAAGGCCAGGGAGGGCGAAAATCGCCATTACAGACAAACCAGAAGTCACCATTCCCAAACTTACAACTTCCGTTTTTCGCCCTCTGGAACCTTCAGGGACGCCTCCTGAAGGCTTCGGAGGTCGAAAATCGGCCCTACAGACAAACCAGAAGTCACCATTCCCAAACTTCCAGTTTCCCCATAGGTCCATTTTTCGCCCTCCAGAGGCTTCAGGGAAGCTCCTGAGGCCTCCGGAGGGCATCCAAGGGGGAGGAGGAGGCTATTTTTCTGCCCTCCCCATTCTCCTAGAAAGCCCCTGGCGCAGGGGGTGGGTGCTTGTCTTGCACGCATGAGCACGGGTGTGTGTTATGCGCATAGCATTATGGGTGTGGCACGCGCGTGCATGATCCCCCTGTGCTCCCCCCACTTTTGGCACGGGAGCCAAAAAAGGTTCGCCGTCACTGGTATAGGATCTCCTGCTCAAGCAGGGAACTGGACTAGATGACCTCCCAGATCTCTTCCAGCTCTATTCTGATTTTGTTTATCCTTGAAGGCATTTCACTTCTCATCCAAGATGCATGAAGAAGCTTCTTGGATGAGAAGTGAAACGAATGCTAGTTGCATTTTGAAAAAGCACCTTTGGGACAGTTCCCAATTATTTTGCCACTCATCAAGCCACACCTTCTGCAATCTTCAAATTCACATTTGGTGATAGGGTTTTTTACCTACTGTATTTTTCAGAGTATAAGACGCACCTTTCCCCCCATAAAAAGATGGTGAAAATGGTGTGTCTTATACACTGAATACAGCATTTTTGGCCTCCTGAAACCACACCCCCTTCACAAAAAGTGCTCCTGGGGGCTGGAGAGGGTAAAAACAAGCCAAAAATGGACTGTTTT